GAACTCCGGGCTGCCAATAAATTAGTTGTAAGTAAATTATATGTAATTAAATTATATTTTAATAACAATTTAAATCAATCTGTATTCATTTGTAACTATAAGATCCCAACATTCCTGCTCCCGAGCTACGGATAAATATATTCAAAGGATACACAACTCCTCCCTGAATATCTTATATTTAACTGGTCTTCCCCGACCACGTTACAGTATAATAAGATAGTGTTTACAAGCATGAAGCATGGCAAATTTGCTTTCTGCCGAACAAATTGTGTATTTATATTAAAGTGAATGAATGTATAAACTATCTTAAAGTCAAGAATATTATTGGACACCAGTAATGATTGTATGGTGACTTGTTTACAATATTTTAACTTTTCTAGTCATGTTAGTTATATTATAACAATAATTATAACAGTAGCTATAGGTAAACTCACTACAATATTAAGCCTAACAACATTTGTGGCGACAATGTGGCATTCAATTAATTTTTTTTAATGTAATTTACATTTCACCTACTACATATTGTATATGATCTTAAATATAACTTTTATTAGGAGCAATTCAAGAATGAATTTTGGGAAAATGAAAAAAAATCTTTCCCATACAGTGGAACCATTGCATTCCGAAGTTTCAATTGGTTCAAAAAGGACAAAATTGAAAGCTAATTACTATAAACAAAAATTACTGCTTTTGGAAAGATGGACTGTTACCAATAAAAAAAATTGTCATTTTCAAGACAGAAGTGAAAACTTCAACAAGGCGAAATTAATAATACGAAATACAAGTTTTTTTGGGTTCTATATTGATAAATTAATAACTATTACAATGCACTTAATTATGATTGTGTATAAATACACACACACACACATCCTAACATCCTAACCAACACAACCTAACCCTAACCAATTCTGCTGGGCGAGTACAGCAGTGAAGCTTCGACTACATTTCTCTCTTGTTCTGCTAACTGTTCCTCTCATGCTTAATCGACTCGAGCCGACTTCGCCCGAAATGAGTGTTACATAACCGAGCGTGACGGCTCAGTTTAATTCAGTACCCACAAAAAGTGCTAAACGAGCCTAAAAAGTTTTCACTTCAAAAATAGTTATGCATTCGCTTTGATAGTAGATAATACTGAAGCTAAGTACAAAACATACATAAAAACTTTAATGCCTTAAATAGTAAAAAAATATTGTTTGTTGAATAAATGCTACATGTTGCATGTATATTAACAATTAATGTCTGTCAATTGTACCGACTTTTCAAGACTTCTTGATACATTCTTTGAGCCATAGATTTATCACTAATTTATAATGTATACATCTTTTTCCCCATAAAATTTATCACAAATTAAACGGACATACTTTTGACTATTAGCCAGTTAAATATTTTAACAAAAATATTCACCAAATATTTTTAGACATTTTTTTTTTTTAAATTAAATATAAAAAATGTGATAACATTAAAAGTAAGTCAAACTACATTGTGAAAAAAAATACAAATAAAATTCATTTTTAAATTTGTTCAATACAATATGTCAATATGTCATGTTCAAGTGTAAAAGTTCTAAATTAACATGCATATTAAATATTATATTGTACTAAAAATATAAATTTACCATAGATTTATATGATTTCAGCAGCATTATAATTTAGGAGTAAACAGTGATATGAAATCAGTGAAAAACCAGAACACATAAAACAAATGATTCAACTATGTGATTAGAACAATGAAAAATAAATAATATTTATAATAGATTATACAAATATAAGTTGTTTTAACATAAAACATTAACAGTATATATTTAGTATAGTATTACTGATGTTGATAAAATAGAACTAAAGATTAAAAATAAAAAAAATTCAAATCTAAAATATATGACAAAGTGATTCCTGAGATCGGTAGAATATAATTTAGATTTATAACCCATGGTCCAGCCACTCTATGGTCATCGCTGAGTGAAATTATTCCCCTGATCTGACTAGATCATCCTCGTTCCATTATCAAAGTCCAGAATCAATAATTCTTTGGGTTGGGATCAGGATCATTATTTTTGTTTATTTCCAGTTTAAATTTGATGTTTCCACGATCTAGTATAAACAAAACGAAGTACACAAATATGTTTAATCAGCTTTAAAAATACTAGGTTTGTTCAAAAGGTCTAAGTAATTAGATCGCATTTAAGATTGAATATGTTATGCTGATTAATGATTATTACTAAAATGTTTAGATAAAAAATCATACAAAATATGCAAAAGTGCATAACAACACGTGTAGACTAAATGATAGCTTTGATGAAATAACTTTTAAAACAATAAACTGACACACTAGTCACAATGCAATAATTCATTATTATATGGAATCTACTACACCACCTTAGAGCACAAGTATAAACTTACAAACTTATTCTAACTAGTTGGGTATTATACATATTATCTTATATCATACAATTAAATGGTTGTCAATAATTAATGAATTTCCAGAAATCAAGTCACACCTAACTGTAACTACGTTGAATACAGAAATAGCATGTTTTTTATGTTATTTCAGATTTATCATTAAATACCAATACACTATAGTTATTGCAACAGAAATCAGAAACTTACATGGCTTGTATGAAAGTTTAAATGTGGTAATTGTAGCCTGAAGGTGAAAGTAACTTAGTTCATTCAATGCTTTCCTTTCTTCCTTGATACATTTAGTACCTAAAAATAATTACACTGTTCTATACAATATATCAACAAAAGATTTATTTAATAGGTACATATTTACTGTCTATGAATGGCTTACAAAAACGGACTGCAACTTTGTTAATCTGTTATGTTAGTTCAGATTTATCATTCCAAATACATTATAGTTATTGCAACACATCAGAACTTGCATGATATATATGAAGGTTTAAATGTGACAGTTGTAACCTTTAGGAAATAGTAACTTTGTTTATTCAATCATTTTCCTTCTTCCTTGATACATTTAAATCCTAGAAAAAATGACACTGTTCTATAAAGCATATCAACCAAAATAGTTATTTAATAGTTACATATTGCACTACGAGTAATTACGGGGTAACAACGGCGTATAGACCAGCTACAGGTTATACACAATATATGAGGGATAATAAGCATGATGCTAAGTAAACAAAAGGGTTAGTATATTTTAACCGGGTCTGTTATTTCTTGGAAATACTATAATAATACTTAATAATACAAAACCACGAATATAATTAATAATTTGTTGGTGCATAGTAATCTCGAATACCACATAATAGATATTCGGCTATACACATTGCGACGCTTAGAATGCGCACTCAGGAAAGTCCTATCGGAGCGTGGGCCGTTAGTATTTACCGGAACGATAGCTGGCGAACACAGAATCCGTGGAAATGATACTCGTATCAAGAGGACTAGGAGAAGTAGAGGGTAGGCTTATATAGGAGACCCCTGAACAGCCCATATTCAGATGTGATTTGACCAGACGAGCCAGAGCACCTTCTCACTTTCACCAAGAGAGTCTTTTGACTGTATTATTTTGGACTTAGAATAATTTTCAAACAGTTAATTATTTGGACTTAGAAAATATTCGGTTCAAATCAATATTTTCTGAACACTCTGAATAGTTCTCTGTGGCGAATATTCTAGCACAGATTATTCAATTTACAGTTAAAATTACATTTGTTTTTATTAAATAATAATAAACTATACTACATCATACAACAGTGTTGCAAAATTCAATCAATTACACCTCATCATATTCCTGTCAACAACACCTGTAGTGTCCAGACCACTACAATATTTACTTTTTATGTACAGCTAACCCAAATTAACTGTAACTTTGTGAGATAAAGAAATTGTATGATTTTTGTAAATCTGTTATGTCAGTTCAGATGTATCATTCCAAATACATTATAGTTAATGCAACACATCAGAACTTACATTATTTGCTTGAAAGTTTGAATGTGCTAGTTGAAGCATGTAGGTAGTCTTCATATTATATCATAGTTCATATGACTAGTTGGTGCAACACAACATAGTAGGTAGTAACTACTCTGTTTATCCAATGTTTTTGTAATTTCTTCCTTGATACATTTTGTCCCTAGAAATAATTATAACACAGTTCCATAAGAAAATCAACGGAATAGGTAATTCCTACGGTTGCTTACGATAATCACAGCTGCTGGGAGAAGTTTAGATTTGTAATCTGTTTACTGGGGCAGTTGATTTATTGTTTCCAAAACCTACAGACAAAATTTTAAATAAGTATTCCAAAAGAATCATTTGGAATCAAACCCTCTGTTGAGGCTAGCTTAGGGAAATGTATTCTGGTTTTCTATAGAATATCCAGGTTTCTGAAAATATATTAAAATACATTTTTAGTATTGACTATACAAATATTATGAAGCTTAGGTATTTTATAATTACACGCAGTTTTTTTGGCAAAGCCAACATCGTCAAATTTCACACAACTAGTGATGTACTGATGTTCAATTTTCAGGTTTCAGATTTCTGTAAATTATATTGCGAGAATGTAAGTAACTGAATGCTTCAATGGCATATCTAGTGTAGGAACATATGGTAGACATTAAAATATCCTTTATATCTGTAATTAGTTATGTAATACATTATAAAACAGAAAAGTATGTATAGTAATATAGTATTATGCAACTAAATTATTAAACAAATTATATTATTACTTAAAATATTTAAAGTTCTAATATTCGACAATTATATTATAATCCCTGTTACATCCAATCATTATAATAAATTAAAATAAACTGTTTCCCAATAAATAATAATCGTTGATTTATCCCATTTTAATCTCCATTTTTAATACAGTCGTTTTTGAACTCGTTGGTGTTATTCTAATTGTAGTTTGTAAAACATGTTTAAGTTCTCAAGAATAAGTGATTAAATTTGTGAGACTATTATACAATCTAACAATCTATCCAGCTAATAAAAATTTTGATCCAGCAATAATACTTGTTATTTACCTCAGTATATTCGACAACTCTCCACCAAGATAAGAACTCATCAACAAACAAGTATTTTTAGTTTTAAATGTCTGGAACAACTTAACACTTTTACAGTAGGCTTCTCCCATAATCTCTTTGTCTGACATTAAGTGCTGTTGTTTTTGGGTGTATGATCACTAATGAGATTTTCAAACAAATAATACAAACATATAAGAAAATGTTTTTGGCATAACAATGTAATATAATTATTGTTATTGTTAGTACCTACACACGAATAAAACGTCCAATTCCTAGAGTACACTATGTGAGGTGTGTAGTAAATCGTAGACCATTCGACATTCGTAATCGTAGTGCAACATGAATCTTAGTTCTTGAAATGCACAGCGCACACCAAGAGTTAGCATTTGTTGTGGGTGATAAATACATCAAGTGTTAGGTATTATTCGTTTTTCAAAGAATAATTTTCATAATATTATATTGTACTATTGTCAATTCATGCAGCTAGTTTATAACTATTCTAATTATATTTTTAAATTAAATTTCAAATAGAAAAATAGAAAACATAACACATCTGTAGTAGATACCTACATAGTTATTATTAATTTCATCAGTTATTTACTTACTATTACCTATCACAGATTAAATAAAATTATTTCATCTGTGATATTATAGTAATAGTAATAATGCTTATCACATAACATCGCACGGACGTCGAGCGTTGTATAATATTACGTAGAGTATTGTGATAGATAACAATATTTACAGTTTATCACGATTTAAGATAGCTTAGAAATCTTATCTATCTCAATCTCAAATCGTGCTGTTTAGTGTTGAATGTTTATCCACAGTAAAGTTGTGGAAACATCCTGTACCTCAGTACTTCATTCGCGGACTAAGGTGTTATAATATTCTAGATATTATAATATCTTAGTCCGTGACTTGAATCGCCACCACATTGTTCACTATACCATTTTTATAATGTAATATATTATCCATGCTCTCGCAGTCTTGCGACGACTCGCTCAATCGAGTGTCCGACTATCCGAGCACAACGTCCTGTCCAGCCGACCAACTCATTGTATTTCGACTACTTTGGTCTGAATGCCAATACATTCTGTTCATTAGTGAAGTCGAAACGCTGTTGATAATCAATCGTAAGTAAGTCCTGTCAACTGTCGTAATACATGTATTTGCCAATCTCGACAATACAAACATTATCTTTTACTGCTTTGTCCTAATAATATTATTGTTTGGTTTTATTCTATGACTACTTAATATAATATCAATATTCAATATACTTATCTAGTACTCTATCCCAAATAATGTATTCATTATTTGTAAACAGAGTTGATGTGTACGCCGGCCAACGTAACAGGCCGCGATAACCATATGGTCCGACTCAAAATGGCTGTCAATGTGCTGTTCAAAAAGTCCATCAACACTAGCTTATAAATCAAGATTACATCTTATTCGTGCACTCGCATCATTTTCTCACCTACGACTAGTATGGTTTAATCTTAACACATCTATTTTCATGAAGATATTTCAAAGAATGTTCATGACACAGTGATGCTGTGTTAATTCTTCTACATGTATCAACTTTTTCAAATGTATTGTTATAACTTAAACCTACTATTGTCAAACCAGGATTTATTACTCAACTCAATGTAATATTTAACACAAGGACATGCAATTTTATGAGCATACGTCAGGCAGTCTAAATGTCAATAGCCACAGTCTTGGCACGTATGCTTTTATAAAAGTATGTGTGCCGAGGATGGGGCATTTAGATTGCTTGATGTGTGCTCATAAAAACGACTGACCTTGTTGTTACATAAATCAAAGGTGCCACAAATTAAGAACATTTATATTATGTGAAAAATTTTCTTGAACACATGAGATTTGAGATTAAGTTATTATTCAACATAACTAACGGGAATATAGATTTTGTTTGCTTTAACATTATTAAAATAAAATGCAGGAATTTGAAAATTTTTACATTGTTTGAAATATTATATTTTTTCTATTTATAAAATGTACTCATGGTTGTATTTTAACAAATAATAACATAAATATATTTAAATATATTTTTCATAATAATCTTGTGTTATATTTTATTTTATTAATTTCTGCTTTTAAAAAGAAAATATAGTGCATTTTTATAAATGATAAAATGAATGTATTTAATTGTCGCATCTTTACTGCAAGCAGTCAATGTTATTTGTTTTGTTTTTAAGTTTAAAAAGTATATTGATGTGTTTCAATCCAGAATTACACTAAATGTCAATGTGTGAACTGCCATTTTATGTTAGTATTTAGTAAGACACTTTTTTGTTATTATTAAACTTCTCTGTCGGTACACTTAATATTTGAGCATCGAGTATAAAACGATGGAACATATTATGAGTGATGAAAGCTGTAAAAAGTCTATATTAAGACTTAAAAAGGAAAATCGTTAATATTGAATTAATAAATAATATAACCAAGGTTGGATTTATACGAGTTAATAAGTTAAATGTTGAGTTAAAATTAACTTACTATTTTGATGCTTTGTTTGGCTCATTTAAAATTTTTTTTATTGTTCCCAAATAGCTTAATTTTGAATTTTCATAGTATCCAGAATAACATTTTTGTTTATTAACATTATAATTATAAATTTGTAAGATATAAAAAATCTAATATTTTTTTTAAATATGTTTCATATCCAAAAATTCTTTATAATATTATACTTATCACTTATTTTAATTCTTTATGCAATATTTATTTTTTGTTAACTTAATTGGCTAACAAAAAAGAAAATTATAAAAATTGCCTAATGTTGGCCACATAGTGTAAAAAGTAAGAAAAATGTGTCAATTAAACCCCAGTAGACGGTACAAATTTCATTTATTTCCGTGCACACGAAACATTTAAGTTCATAATTGTTCATCAGCTGTTTTCTTGTACCAATTCTAAAGCTGGCTACTACCTTATTCTATCTATTCCTTAAAACAAAACATACACACTACTTTACATTTAAATTAATTACCCTTAAATGTATCTATAAGTTTTTCTTTGCAGCTTGTTTAGCTTGATTCGCAACAAATTTATTTTAATTTTTTTGTTTTTTGCTTTTACTAAAAAATATTATAGTGACCCATTCACTAATTTAGTAGTTAGTTATTTATTTAATTGTTCTTAATAGTGATAACCAGTTCTTATATTTATTTTTTTTTTAATGTATATATTAGTGTATTTGCTTACATTATATATTGTTTTAGTATGTTTGTAACCAAATACATTTTCAATTTTAGGCAATAATGATTCAAACAGTGGCATCATTTGAGTTTTCATTAGAGGGGGCACAAGTTTTGACCAGCCTTAATGGGTGAGGAACTTAAGAAAAAAATGCTCTCAATCACAATGCCATAATATCCACTTACATTTTTACCAAATTACCATTCTCAACTCATATTATATTTTTTAATTTAAGTATTATTATTTATTAAGTAGTTTTATTAACTAAGTAACAACATCATTGTTGATATCTTATAATGATAGTAATTGTACATACAAATTAAAACTCTGGAAACTAATATTATTTTAAGTTTAATATGGTTTTTTTTATTGCATATTAACTAGTTCAAATTTTGTCTATTGTTTAAATATATCAGAAATTGTTTGAGATTCTTGAGCGATTTAAACTAACTTAATTTTTTTGGGACTTCTGTTTTTAGACAAACCGCCTGTTCTTTTTTTTTAAAAAATTAAAAATTAAATTTTAAAATTTAAAGACAATAATTTCTTAATATACAATACAATATTTTCTGAAAATATAAAAATAATATGCATGTTTCTCGAGTTAATAAAATATAACAATGGTTAAACGAAAACAACCGAGTTGACATGGCCTATCGACTGCTTTTAAAATCAGACAGGGGCAAAAGTCCACATAGCCACTTTCCCCCCGCCAAAAAAAAAAAATAAAATTATGCCACTGGAATACTTAAATATTCTTATTCTTATGATGTTTTTATTTTTACATGTTTTTAATAGTAGCTATCTTTAATTGTATGCAAGATGTAATGAGAAATGAGCTAATAAACTTATGGTTTAATTGGCATAATAATTTTAAGAATTGGTACCGAAATACTGGTTTTATTTTGATACTCTTCGTGGTAAGCCATGTTTAATATTGCATTCATTTTATTTTATTCAGCAAAAAAGTAGGCCAATATACAATACATTATAATAAGTATTAATAACAACATTATTTTTTTAATAACATTTAATATTTACATATTATTACAATATGTACAAAATAATAAAAGTATAGATTATTATACTATTAGGTAATACTCATCACATTATTTATTCAATCCCTATAATACATCCTTGAATTGGGTTTAATATGAATATTCACAAATAACTGTACTCATATAATTTGTTTACTATAGTCTAGAATAATCTATAATACATTTTTGTGTATAAATCTAGTATCTACCATGTTTACTGTGGTAATTAAAACTTTAACTAAATATTGAATTTATCAGAGTTATTGGTTTTTGTCAATTGTGTTCCATCGTATTACCAAGCGAATAAGTGATATCATATTGATATTGAGGATCACTGAATATTTGTATCTTCTACAGCTGTCCTATATTGATTATTGGCTATGGCTGTTGAGCTAGTTCAAGGGGAAATAAAGTTTATTTTTAGTCATGTGAATGACAAAGATTCAGTTGTGACTTCAATGTATAGTTTTATTTACTATAGTTATGTAGAGGCTCTTTTCTGACTTCAGTATCGCACATAAGATACATCTTCATTTTCAAAGTAGTCCAGTAGTTTATTCAATTCTTCAACTAAAACATATATTTTATATATTAGTATTTAGTACCTAAATAAATAAAGTGCACACAGAATAGATAACTTATAAAATTGTATTATATTTTATAGTCCGCTGGGAAGCTATGCATAGGTACACACCCAACAACTAAAACCATAACAATCCTGACTAGACAAAGACTGGTGCCAGTGGCGTACCAATAGGGTGGCATGACGGGCAAGTGCCACGGGCCCAGGGCCCCAGAACGCCGGGGAGGGCCCTTCAAAAAATGTAGCAATTTAAGTAAAACAGATTACCGTTATTACAGAATTTTAGTTATTAATAAGTTCTAGTAAAATTAAATCATTTTAAAGTAAAATAAATGTAATAACTAGAAAAATAACTGATACACGCAACACGCTTACAAGTCTAGGATACCGTATTGAAGTCTCAGAAGTCTGTCGATTTCTCGATTCGTTATCAATTATCATTTGTCATATTATACGCTATACAGTCTATTGTACTGCCCAACTGAAAATTGAATAGCCGTCGTTTTTCTATATTATTTTGTCATTAGTTATTCTGTCATCAGTTGTGAGTTGTCGTCACTCGTTGAACCAAATAATTGATATTGTGATCATGTCAAAAAAAGTACCTAGTGGCTATGAAAAGCGTAAAAAAAATGGAAGAACAAGAAAAAGTATCAAAACTGCCTAAAATAAGTGGTTATTTATAATATTTAAAAAAATAAAATTCTTATTATAATGTGTAACAAAAAATGACCATATTATTCATAAA